CTCGCCAATAATGACTCGGAATTCGTCATATGGAAGATCACCTTATTCACGGAGACTCTCGGATTTTTCAACTTCTGATTTTAGCCTCTCCATTGACGCTTCTTCCTACCCAAACTATAGAAACGAGAAGCTGGCCTTCAAGGATCAAGCCAATTCATTCTGGCGACTAGCTAAAATGAACTCTCCAGAGTGGAAATACGCTTTGCTCGGTTCGGTAGGCTCTGTCATCTGTGGCTCCCTCAGCGCGTTCTTTGCGTATGTCCTCAGCGCAGTCTTAAGCATCTACTACAACCCGGACCATGAATACATGATCAAACAGATTGATAAGTATTGTTATCTCTTAATCGGTCTCTCTTCCGCAGCACTTGTCTTCAACACACTCCAGCATTCTTTCTGGGACATTGTGGGTGAGAATCTAACCAAGAGAGTCCGTGAGAAGATGCTCAGCGCTGTACTCAAGAATGAGATGGCTTGGTTTGATCAAGAGGAGAATGAAAGTGCAAGAATTGCAGCACGATTAGCTCTTGATGCCAATAATGTGAGATCGGCCATAGGAGATAGAATCTCGGTTATTGTGCAGAACACAGCACTGATGCTAGTTGCTTGCACTGCTGGGTTTGTTCTACAATGGAGACTCGCACTTGTCCTTGTCGCAGTCTTCCCCGTAGTTGTTGCTGCAACTGTCTTACAGGTTTGTATCTTTTAAAGCAAATGCATGCTCTTATTGTGTCCTTAGACCTGAAACTTTGTCTTGTCGTTTGAACAGAAAATGTTCATGACTGGATTCTCGGGAGACCTGGAAGCGGCGCACGCCAAGGGAACGCAGCTCGCTGGTGAAGCCATAGCTAATGTCAGGACAGTCGCAGCCTTCAATTCGGAGGCAAAGATTGTTCGTCTCTACACTGCAAACCTCGAACCACCATTGAAACGATGCTTCTGGAAAGGACAGATCGCTGGAAGTGGTTATGGTGTAGCTCAGTTCTGTCTTTACGCATCTTACGCTCTTGGACTATGGTACGCATCATGGCTTGTGAAACATGGCATCTCTGACTTCTCCAAAACCATAAGAGTCTTCATGGTACTGATGGTCTCAGCCAATGGTGCAGCAGAGACGCTCACACTGGCTCCTGATTTCATTAAAGGTGGTCAAGCTATGCGCTCTGTTTTCGAACTTCTTGACCGGAAAACTGAGATTGAACCCGATGATCCTGATACCACCCCAGTCCCAGACCGGTTACGCGGCGAAGTTGAACTCAAACACATTGATTTCTCTTACCCTTCAAGACCAGACATTCAGATTTTCCGTGACCTTAGCCTTCGTGCTAGAGCTGGCAAGACTCTAGCTCTTGTGGGTCCAAGCGGGTGTGGAAAAAGCTCGGTTATCTCCCTCATCCAGAGGTTCTACGAACCGTCCTCAGGTCGAGTCATGATCGACGGGAAAGACATAAGGAAATACAACCTGAAAGCCATAAGAAAACACATAGCCATAGTCCCTCAAGAGCCGTGCTTGTTCGGAACCACCATTTACGAAAACATCGCTTATGGACACGAATGTGCGACCGAAGCAGAGATCATTCAGGCCGCGACTCTAGCCAGCGCCCACAAATTCATATCCGCGCTACCAGAAGGTTACAAGACGTATGTTGGCGAGAGAGGCGTTCAGCTCTCAGGAGGACAGAAACAGAGGATCGCAATTGCACGTGCCCTCGTGAGAAAAGCAGAGATCATGCTGCTCGATGAGGCTACTAGCGCTCTTGATGCAGAGTCCGAGAGATCAGTCCAAGAAGCATTGGACCAGGCTTGCTCTGGTAGAACATCGATCGTCGTGGCTCATAGGCTATCTACAATCAGGAACGCACATGTGATCGCGGTGATCGATGATGGAAAAGTCGCAGAACAAGGATCGCATTCGCATCTTCTCAAGAACCATCCTGATGGAATCTACGCGCGGATGATACAGTTGCAGAGATTTACGCATACTCAGGTGATTGGTATGACGTCAGGATCAAGTTCTAGGGTTAAAGAAGATGATGCTTAGTACTTACTACTTTGGTCATTATAGAAGAAGAAAGAAGAGTAAAAAAAAAAAACAAACATCAGAAGATGTCTCTGATAAAAACTCTACGAACTCATTTTCTCTTTTTTTTTTCTGTTTTGATTTTGAGGTTACTTATTTTTGGAACTACGTTTCAGATTTGATGGTATAGTATTATTATTGTGTATTATCATAATTAATCTAATTTTTCACCTCTGTAATATCCATTTATGCCATATCAATCTATGAGCATTTTCTAGTGAAGTGAAGAAGGTGATGATGAGAGGTATGTATCTCATAATCATCGAGTGAACTTGTTACCATACATATATTGGTTTGGTTTGTTCTAGATTTCTGGATAAGCCTAACTTTTCCAATCATGAGATCCGTTCTAAAAGAAATGTAATCCTTTAGGGTTTTTAATTGTATTGGTTAGATGGGTTTTGAATGATGTGGGTCTATTTTAAAATTACTTGTGTGTAAATCATGGTTTTTATAGTGGACATGATTAATAATGTAAGCATATAAAGAATTATCTATGACAATATTGTCAAAAAGAATGCTTTAGATGTTATAGACACACGAACATACGTGGGGAACAAAATTATGAAGATGAGAAAACAGAAATGAGAAAAAGAAGATGGGTCCAAAAAGGACATTGAATGAGATGATGAGACCCAAAGCTAAAACAATAAAGAAAAAGAAAGAAAAGACAACATTTCTTTTGTGTTTATATGACTTTTTATGAACAAAACAATTCTTGAATTCGTTTCTTTCTACAACACACGCGTGCGACCATACACACATATATGCATATGGGACACACACACCATGATGATGATGATGATGATGATGATGATGACTACTTTGTTTTAGTTGTTGAATGCAATAAATTTATGTTTAATTATGAACAAACTCTGGCCATTTTTATTATAGTGGAGGAGAAGAAGCATGTAGCTCTTCTCGGCGCATGTCGTTCACTAATTGAAATTCAAAGAAGGCCAGAGTAATTAAGCCATAATGTACACTGGATATCCCCACTATCTTGTTCACAAATAATATACTACTATGCGTTCTATTTTTCTCCAAGAAGTGAGCATTTTTTAATTACGTATAGTTTTTGCTTTATATAAATTTAGGAGGGGTTATTGGTTCATAGATTTATATGGAATTAGAAATCCAAACAAAAATCATTTGTTATTCAATCATTGATTTTAAAATCCTAATTAAATTCATGTGTTATTGGTTCTATGATTTATAAATACTAGTTAAAATCTTATGTTATTCGTTTAGTCATTTGTTTTTGGATTTGAGAATCCAAATTATGTTTTAAATGGAATTGAATGGAATTGAAAGAGAAAAATAGAAGGATTCAAATCCATGGGTAAACACATGTTATTTCAAAATCCATATATCTTGATTTCATAATTAATAGAAATTTTCAAATTCTGTATGGATTTACAAATTAACAAACTAATAACACCCCCTAATTATTTTATCATTAGTACGTAGAATTTGGAAAATGTAAATTTTTACTTGCTAAAATTGGCAAATAAAATCAAATTTTAATGGACTTTTGCCTAAGGTTTATAAGAAATTGGCATTTTCATCTTTAGTAGTAATGAGGTAACTTTAACAATGTCACAAGGTTACTTGACTCTTCGATTTTTTTTTTTTTTTTTTTTGTAAAGTATGATGGATAATGGGACAGTAACTACATGCACCTGCTAATTTATCTCAAAAGTTCATATTAATGGATCCGTTTGAGGTCGATTCAGCCACGCAGATATTCAAGTCTATGTCCTCATTAGGCGCAATTCACCTTCAAACCCGTAAAATAACAAATACTAATGAAAGAAAGGTATTAAAATAGGAAACGCTAATAGCTTGAAGCCTTGCAAGCAAGAAGGATGCTTATGTTTATATACTCATCAAGGTTCGGTATTACTATTAATATCGTGAAGAGTTCCAAGAATTTCAACCTAGTATCGTAGAATGTAACCAAGACATGGAAGAATCTACTAATTACCGCTCTTATGATGCATACAAAAAAATTATAGGATTTACCACTAAATCTACGCTGCTGGAAAGATTCAGTAGGCTTTATGGGATACGACCCGATCGATGGTACATACAAAGTCCTGTGTATGCCTACAAGGTAGCTTTGAACATTTCCCTTGCCGTCATGGACGATGCATCAATGGGGTTGTGTACTATGAAGCCTGGCTTAAACCTGATTGTACTCAGCGCTTTGTGATGAGCTTCCATGTTAGATCTGAAAAGTTCAATATGATAAAAGTGTCATGGAGAGGTCCCAGGGGTCTCCTCTTAGCTTACCAAGGTAAGTTGGCTTATCATAGATCCAGTCACCATGATGCCTTTATTTCACTGTGGGTTTTGGAGGACGCAGAGAGACATGAGTGGTCGTTTAAACATTTTTCTCTACCTTTTCCTCTCAAGGATCCAATTTCGAAAACCACTTTATGTTTAGGCTCTGTGACTGATGCTGGTGAGTTCATTTATGTACCACAAAATTTGTTGGGTCCGTTTCATGCTCTGTATTTTGATCCAAAGACGAACACCGTTAGAAGAGTCATTTATCAAGGAGTTGCAGACGACGAATTTAGGCGCCGTCATGGGCTTGGAAACAAAACTCTAGAGGGCCTGCATATTTTTCCCGATCACATTGAGAGTCTCTTGTCTATGTAAAAGTTCTTTTTTTCTTGTCCTTGGAATAAATGGCTCACTTAATTTATGATTTCTTGTAATAACTCTTGGTGGATTCCTTGGCGGGGAGGTTTTTCCCATAATATTATCACTCTTTTATTTAAATCCTTTCCATTTGTCAACATTTTGGATTAGCCTTTGCTAGTGGATGATATGGCCATCATGTATGTATATGAACCCAGGTGGAGGTACTGTTGGGAGGGATCTCTTCTCCAAAGGAGATGAATTTAACCTGGTGAGGGTCCCGTCTCTGGGAGATGTAAAGCTTTCAGGCTTGAACTTCCAGATATTCAAAAAAAAAAAATGTATGTATATGTTGATCAACCAATTATGGAATATTAAGCGTGGATGGTCTCCTGGATTTGGCTGTGTTGATCTTTCTTGATCTTGGGACCATGCGCAGGCAAGATGGAACATATACAGGGGAGTATCTTTTGTAGCATTTAGCTATTCATTCAGTCCACTAACCCCAGCTTCCTGTTGTTTACATTGTTACTCAATCACCAAAAACTGAGTTTATCCCAAGAATCAATACCTAACAAATTACACAGCGGAGTCAAACAACATTGGTATATGCAAACATAAACACAAACAAACAATCCACAAGTAAATAAACTATACCACTGATCTAAAGAGCTTATACTCCATAACATTGAAAATAACCTCATTTTGTTATCATGTCTAATAAAAACTAACGATCAAAGGAATGAAAAAGAAAGATAAATGTTCGCCATTTTAATCTGTTTCTTACAACATATATACTACATGCCCTGAATTACCAAAAATAAAATAAAATTACAAGCTCTTATTCAAAACAGATAAAAAAATCCATCATACAGTATCTCTGTAAATCCGTTATAACGATTACTCTCTCCGACGAAGAAGAAACCGAAGTCAAGAACCGAGAAAGATCACTAAAGAATCTTCTTTCTTGCGATCAAAGTAAACGAAAATGTCATTCTCAGACGATCCTACATCTCCGACGGAGAAGAATCGAGCTCGTACGAGTCAAGAACCACGAGAGCGCCCTCAAGATTTGTCTTGCTTGTCATCCAAGGAAACAGAGAAGAGCCAAGAACCGAATGAAACGTCTGGCTCCTCTGTTTCTCCGATGAACAGATACAAAGAAGCCTTAAAAAATCGACATGGCCCGGTCTCGAAAAACCAAAATTACGACTTCGAAAGTAATAACATCACCATCAACACTGAAAACCTGCTAAATCCTTTCGGTGTCGGAGGAGGTTTTTTCGTCACAACTTGTATATACGTTTTCTTCTCTGAAAAGCTTTACTTCTTGTGTGTTGCAGGGTCTCTTGATTCTGAACCAATACAGATGATGTCTACCTCTGGATATGTAAGCGGCAGTACAAATAACAAGAACAACAATGGTCAGTCTTACTTGGGTGTTGAAGCTTCCAAGAACAGTGTTGGCCTCAGAACTGGCATGCAACAACAAATGTCTAATAGATCCGTAATCGGTGTAGATTCAGGTACATCGTTCACTGATACTGCCAGAAAGTTGCAGCAAGCTTATAATAACCTTCAGCGTTTAGGAATGCCGGGTATGTAAAGTCTTATGTCTCTTCACTTCTCTGCTTGTGACTTCTTGTATTTGTTTGTGTCTGCCTATCAAAATTGTCAATGTTATGTTCACTTACTGTTTCAGGTGAAGGATATGGCACAAACAATCCTGACTTTTTTGAAGACCAGCCTAACTTTCTTCTTGGTTCTGGAGGGAATATTGCATCAATGAGCTCACAAAGAGATGACCTTAGACCTGAAAAGCAACAAAAGATGTCTAATGTGTCAAACAGTTCCATAAGTGGTGGTGTTGGGATGTATTCAAAAACCGTAGACTCTCAGCAGGGTAAGTAAAATCTTGATTTCCCCTTCCGTTTTCGGTTATAGACTTGTTGTGGTTCATCAGAATAGTAAAGTCTTATGGAGTATTTTATCACTTCAGGTGAAGAACATGACACAAACAATTCTGACACTTTGGGAGACTCAAGTAACATTTCTCTTGGTTGTTTTGGGAGCATTGAATCCATATTGAAGGCAACAAGAGATGGAAAAGAGGTTCCGACGATGCCTACCCCTAGACCTGTCAACAACGCACCTCAATGGACCATCAAGAAGAGATTGACCAAGAAAGATGTTAACCCTTATGGCCAACTTAGTCTGCCCAGTAGCTCCTTCGATCAGCATATTCGAAGACATCTGCCTGAAGAAGATTTGCCAAAGATAGTAGGAGCCGGACTCATTGTTAACGTATTTGACAACGACACGAGCACAATACATAAGCTGCGTCTGGCAGTATACTATACCTATGTTCTAACGGGTGGCTGGCTGGAAGATTTCATCCAAAGGAGAAGCTTGAAAGAAAGAGACGATATAGGACTCTTATGGGACTCTTCTGCTTCTAGGCTTCAATTTGGCGTGATTGCTCGTGCAAAAGCAATGGTTCCTCGAAAGAGAACAAGTTCTGCATAATGTGATCTCAATTAGAAACGCATAAAAGCAGCTGAGAGAGGTAGTGTTTGTTCTTTATATTTTGTCAAACAGCGATTGGTATTGGCTTATATGATTAGGTTTTTTCTGAAGCCAACTACTAGAGAATCTGATGCGTTGTACACAAACAATATATGATTTATCAGATCTTAAACTTCTAAGTGAAGCCAAAACTGCTAAACCAGCAACTGCATGATAGATACTTTGCAAAAGACAAAAACCTTGAATCATTAATTTAGGAGAGTACATTTAGCTACTAAGGATCATCATCTTACAACAAAAATTCAGATTCCATTAACTATTAAGGAACAAAAACTGTAAAACTCTCAGGCAGACATCAGCTTTGGACCATTGTCCGGCATTCCCATTCCACCGGCTAAATCTGCATCGAGTTGCGAGTGTGGCGCTGGTCCTTTCATCATCTTCACACTGCAATCACACAAAAAAATCCAAATGGACAAAACACAAATATTAAGTCTTTTGAGTACAGAGCAACAATATAATCATAGAAAGGCAATCAAATTAGATGAGCTAAAAACATTTGTAGCTACGTCAGTGAAGAGAAATAGCTTAAAACATTGCAAGCAAGATGGATTCAAAGTACTTATTAAGCGCAATTATCATCAATTCAGTAAATTCCAAACGAGCACAAGAACCAAACACAGTTCCAAGAACACAAAACCAAAGCCAAGGAAGATGAATCCACATACCGCTTCTTGTGTTTCTTAGTCTTGAAATGATCATTCCGCACTGATGCATTGGAGAAGTATCGGCTGAAACATATCAAGGGTAAAACAAACAAATGGGTCAAAATCTAACACAAACAGAAACATATAGAGTAATTAAAAGATTGTCTTTTTACAAAAACAAAAAAGGTTTCATATACCAAAAGAGTCAATAGAGTAAAAATCACATAATCTCTTACTCGCAGTGTAAGCAGTAGAATTGACCCATTCCAGGCAAATCCTCATCAAGCTGAAAAGGCTTAATCTCCGTTTCCGGTTTACGCAACTCTGTGTAAACCAAATCGTCACCTTTGACTTCGAATTTGTCACGACGAGCTGTTTTGTGAGATAATCTCCTCTTCTTCACTTTTCTAGTCGGACATCTACCCATTTTAGCTTCCTAAGTACTGAAATTGAATCATCAATTGCAAATTTAGTGACTCATTGATAAGAATCTAAACGAATTTGCAGATTAATTGAAAACTTACGATTCAGAGAAGAAACTACAGGAGGAGCTTGGAGACGACGACGCGGAAGAGGAAACCCTAGAAATCTTTAGTTTCGGTTATCAAGTATTGATTAACCTAAAAAAAAGGCGGTTTCAATGATTGAGACTTGGCGTCAGGCCCATTTTTATAAACAGGCTTATATAGGCCCATTAATAATTAACTTGGGCTGCTTACATTTTATAGCACAACGGAAGAAGATTAAGACTCAAATTCAAGACCAAAATCTGAAATAATGCACTAAGATATATGCAATTACTTTCTATTATAGAATCATTTTATGAAAGCAAAACTATGATCTAGCATAAGATACGTCTAAAATTCAGTGCCGGCCCGAATATGTAACTACTTAAAGCAAGCCTGATAATTGATGCTCCAATGAAAAGGAAAAAAAAATCGTTTTAAAAGGATGCACAGAGTGGGTTCAAACCCCTGCTTAACCACTATACCTATTGAACAGTTTTGGAAATAATGCCCCTAAAAATCTTTATAACATATGATGCCATAAAACTCTAGCTTCTTGAGCTTCTGCCTCGGGCCGGACCTGCTGATTAGTGGCATAAGCGTAGATTTAGTGGTAAATCCTATAATTTTTTTTTTCATGAATCCATTAGTTTATTAGTATAACAATAAACTAATAAATTCTTTAGCGAGAGCAAAGCAATGAAAAGCCGTTTTGTGTTGCATGCTCTTAACGCTCCCCACAATGATGGATGGTTTTAGGGAATGTTTGAAGCTTGTTTCTTCTGTACATCTAGAGTTTTCTTGGTCACCAATAAGACGACATGCCCTTAAAAGAACCGATCCTACTAGCCGAACGATCGGAATTTCGTACTTATGTGGATTCACATCTAGAGCATGAAAGGACAATGGGTCATTCCTCCAGCTAGATAATGCGTGCCAATTTGTTAGCACAATTTGTTTGAAATGTGGGACGTTCCTTTTTTCGTTCTAGATACTTCTACTACACCATATTGGCTCGTCGATGGGGTCTCGTTCTAATAATTTAAGGTGCTTCTGCCGAGGAAATCAATGATAGTGAAACAGACCGGTACCAAATCCAAACTTTTCATATTGTTTATTAGTGTAATAATGTTGCATGGAGATCCATTTAGATGTTTAAAATTGAGTTCTTGCTGAGTTGGTTCTACTTTGTCTCTGCCCCCACTAAATTTGATTTCTAAACGTTTCTATAGCCCCATCTTTTTCATGTTTGTCTTAATTATCAGATAGATTTTACTTTTAGACTCCTAAGCCCAAGTTACTGTCTATGATTTTGATTATCTTATTTTCTTTCACTTTCTAACTGTAGTTTACTTTTAGGCTCCATTTCGTTAACATTGCTATCTTTTTGAGATGAACATTTTTCTTTTAATTTGTCCTTTCTTCATAATTTTCTAGCAAAATGAATGGAAATTATATTTCACAACTTTGAGTGTAATGGTAAAATTTCAGCTGAATATTTAATCCATGTTACAACCATTTTCACCTTCACATGAGAGACAAATATGCACAGAGAACTTTCTAGCAATAAAAACTGACATACATGACGACGCGGTTTATAACCATATTGAATGGTCATTTTTTAAGCTACAACGAGAGTCAAAATTTTGTATATTAGGCTTAATTATTTGGTATTTGTTGATAATTTTGTTTAAAATGTTAATGTTGACCCCATTAACTTATCTTCAAATCATGTTTTTGCACCCCTTCTATTATTTTTTTTTTCTATTGACTTCTGTCAAATTTATTTCTGGTTCCGCCACTGTACATGACGATGGTTTATAACCATATTGAATGGTCATTGTTTAAGCTACAACGAGAGTCTAGCAATGAGACTTTGCCGAAAAATATGTGGAGAAAATGGTGACTTATATGTGTACGTTTATAGTAAATTACTCAGTGCTAATTAATAGCATCATATGGCTGGATGAAATTACCTAAAGGGTTGAAACAATTCGAGGTGATGGGCCAAAGATGCGAGCCGAGGAGGTGGTAGTGATGGATGAGGAGAAGAGAGAAGAAGTTATGAAGTGGCTGGAAAGACGAGGCGAAGGATTTCTCCGGTGGAGCTTTAGATTTCGCTTAGATATAAAGAGTCAGAGGAGTAAGTGGAATATGAAAGGCTTGCCGTGTCGATTAGTAGACTACCGATGAGTAATTTGTTATTGAACTTAAAATGTGTAGTGAAATGTTTCCAAACTTGTATAACATAATCACTAATCACAACTTGAAATTAAAATGGTCTAATTTTGTTGCAATTAGTGAGTATGATAATATTAGTTAAAATGATCCAAGTCAGTCTGACGTGTTACATCGTGTTTACTACTTTTTACACTGTTGAACACGAAAACAAATCTTTGTATGTGCTAAAATCGTATTTAGCTACAAAATTTGTGACTATTTATACCCTAAACTCCCAAATTACAGAACATAACGTTTCAAAATACAAACATACAAACACAAACTTACGTTGAAGTTTGTGGTCATTGTGATCGTTAACTTTACGAAAGATTTTAGATAATAGACAAGAAAGTTCTCAATCAAACTCTATATCTCATGTGTATATAATAATATGTTTCCACCTCAGGTATTACGTCACTCATAGGACCATATGACAAAAAAATTCAACAAAACACAATGAAACATGCATGATGTTGACAAAATGGACCGGTAAAAAGGAGGAACGAAACGCAATTACGCAACTCTTGAGACATTTTTTTTTTACTTTTCTTATCCTTTTACTGTTTATGCAGTTGAAAGATTTTCAAATAAATTCAATTCTCACACACGACTGACGAACCCAATAAAGAGGGTGATATTCAAAAGAAAAGTAAAAGTGTAAAACTCAGTGAGTTAAAATTGCAATATTCCTCATGTCTCTGTCTCTATACCGCAGCCCATGTTTTTTTTTGTAGATAGGCAGTTCTTGGCTGTTTCCATGAAGCTGAAACTTACAAAACCAAAGTCATTTAATTAAAACCAGTAATTGTGCTCTTTAGGGGAGCAATTTTTTTAATTTATATGTAAGAATTTTAAAAATAATTGGATATGCTATTGGTGCTGTACGAATTATGTAGAGTAGTGTATGCGCCGTGGTTTGGTGATACGAATATATATAGTATATTACAACAAAACGTGGAAATTACATTCTTAATACTCGAAAACATATACAATTTTTGTTTGTTTGAAATGTGCATATAAATAGATGTTAATGTACACACACACATATATATATATATATATATATATATATATATATGTACAATCTTTGTGTTAATTTACTAATATATGTACATTACACACATGTCTTGAATTCTTCTATGTACTAGTACCAAATATATAAATCGGTCAAACTAGTACTTGACAGAATTTAAACCATGTGCGACTTGTCGTTTATCTTGTATTTTAACCGTTAGAATTTAAACGCATATTAAAGTTTTGATCTGATCTTAATATGCGTTTAATGGATTAATATAACAAGTGGTATATAAATATTATATATTTTGGTTTCTTTTCCTAAAACTAAATCTGTTGTAAGAAGTTTTTGTTTATTTATTAATTGTAGTAACCCACTTTCCTAATGAAATTTCTAAATAATAGGAAACAAAAAAAAAAAAAAGGAGAAGAGGAGGTTCCATCAACTTCATTTATAATGAGACAAGACTATGCAATTTGCACAATCATGGCTTTAACCAATACCCATTTATCAGAAGAAAAAGAATCATCTGTATCTTTAATCTCTTTACAAATTCTTTTTATAATAATGTGATTCAAAAATTCAAAAATGATTTGATGAAAACATCACTTTTCTTTCTATTTTATTAGTCCGGTAATTCGTTTATGAAGTTATAACGATCTAATTCAATGTCTTAGTATTGTATTAGGTTACATTTCTAACGGTTATATTTTGCTAACATATTATAAAGTAAATTCTACTGAATAAAACTGTTCTTTCAATCTGGCTTCGTATTTTTCTCGAATCAGCAGTTAATTTAATCTCTCCATTTGACTTACCCTTATACTCTGAATTATATTACCTATTATTATTTGTTTATGCTTTTGGACCATTTTTTTTTGTTTGGACCAAACTCTTGGTGAACATTCTTTTATGATGGAATCTATCTAATTATTAACAAAATAATACTTTCGTTTTGTATCTAACTAGATGTTAACCCGCGGTACACCGCGGGTCTATATTTTTATTAGAAAAATTTATTAAATTTTGTTTTAAGATACTCTATAGATATATACTATTTTTTTGTTTAATTTAAATGTATAATACACCGTGAGACGAAATTTTATTACAAAAATTGAAATTTTATAGATAGACGTAGTATAAAAACAATAGATTCAATTGTATGATTTTGAATAAGATGCTGATTTAACCCGTCTTATACTAATTTTACCCGCGGTATACCGTATGCTAAATTTTAAATAATAAAATGAGGATTTAATATGTGTTATAGCGATATATTAGTGATATTTTAAATTTATACCTAACCAAACCTGTGTCATACAATTCGTCCCGTAATATTTAAAACTATTTTATAAAAACTCAAAAACCATAGCTAAATGGGCAAACAAAAGCCAAAAAATTTAAATATATCAATTAGAAATTTTTGAATTAGAAATTTTTGAATTTAATTAGAAAAGATTGCTCCATAATTTTAAATCTTATGTATTTAATGTATTTATGAAGATTTGATATTTGAATTTATTTGAGAACATTACTTATTTTTAGCAATTTCAGAAAAAAGACATGGGTTAAAGCTTGAACTGATCCGATAATTAAGGTCTGAATTAATAGTTTTGCACCGGCCTTGTTATTTTATTTGTATTTTCTAATTATTTTATCACTATTCAAACCTTAATGATCCATGTAATTAACACTAACCTATTATTGTTATATAATCACAAATATTAAAAATAATATGTTTAGAACTGCCATGAAAAAAAAATTAAGTATGCAACTTTCATTAGTTCACATAATGAAAAAATAAACACATAGAGTATTAGAACCTAATAACAAAGAATCATGTCTACCAATTTTGTAAAGACCTACAGAGCCCAAATTGTTTTTATTCAA